TCTGTTCTCTTTTCCTTCAGCTTCCTAGTTTCTGTTCTTCTTCTGTTTCAGTTTGCTTCTGTTCTCTTTTCCTTCAGCTTCCTAGTTTCTGTTCTTCTTCTGCTTCAGTTTGCTTCTGTTCTCTTTTCCTTCAGCTTCCTAGTTTCTGTTCTTCTTCTGCTTCAGTTTGCTTCTGTTCTCTTTTCCTTCAGCTTCCTTGTTTCTGTTCTTTTTCTGCTTCATTTTGCTTCTGTTCTCTTTTCCTTCAGCTTCCTTGTTTCTGTTCTTTTTTTCCTTCAACTTTAGAACATAATAACGTAAGAAATTTACAAACGAGAGGAGGCCATTGGGCCCATCAAGCTCATCTGGGGAGAACTTAACTAATAGCTCAGAGTTGTTAAAATCTTATCTAGCTCTTATTTAAAGGAAACCAGGGTTTTAGCTTCCGCTACACTAACAGGAAGACTATTCCATACTCTAACTACACGCTGTGTAAAGAAGTGTTTTCTCAAATTCAGTTTAAAATGTTCTGCTAATTTCCACTTATGGCCATCAGTTATTGTATTTGAACTAATAATGAAGTAACTATTTGGCTGAACAGCATCCAGACCTGTTAGAATCTTATAGACCTGGATCATATCCCCCCTTAGTCTCCTTTGCTCGAGGCTGAACAGATTCAGCTCAGCTAACCTCTCCTCATAAGACATTCCTCTAAGACTCATTCTTGTAGCCCTACGTTGAACCTTTTCTAAGGCAGCAATGTCCTTTTTAAGGTACGGTGACCAAACCTGCACACAGTATTCTAGGTGGGGTCTTACCAAGGAATTGTATAATCGGAGCATCACCTCCCTTCACTTAAACTCCACACACCTAGAGATGTAACCCAACATCTTATTGGCCTTTTTAATTGCTTCCCCACACTGGCGAGAGTGGGACATGGAAGCATCAACATACACACTGAGGTCTTTCTCGTAATCAGCTACCTTCATTTCAGTGGAACCCATAAAATATCTCTACTTTATATTTCTGCTCCCTGCATGGATTACCTTACATTTATCTACGTTAAATTTCATCTGCCAGGTATCAGCCCAGTCGCTAATTAAATCAAGATCCTGTTGTAGCCTCTATGCTGCTAATTTAGTATCTGCTACACCACCCACCTTGGTGTCGTCTGCAAATTTAACCAGTTTACTGTATGTTTTGGTGTCAATATCATTAATGTAAATTAGGAACAATAATGGTCCTAAAATTGTACCCTGCGGTACCCCACTATGAACGCAGGCCCACTGCGACATTGTGCCTCTAATAATTACCCGCTGCCTCCTGTCTGTTAACCAGTTTTCCATCTGTTTCTCTGCGTTATGTTTGTTCCCTGTGAGACGCTCTGGTTTAAAAACTCTGCAGGCCACCCACCATCTGTTCTTCCAGTTCCAGTGCTGTTCCCATGGCAACTGAGAACGCCCTAAAATCATGCAGCCCCCAGGTGTTGATCTTGCAGCAGCAGGAGAACCTCAG